TCTTCAAAGTAGTGTGTTGATTAGCTCTCTCTCTCTTTCCCTCTCTCTCTCTCTCTCTCTCTCTCTCTGTGTGTGTGTGTGTGTGTGTGTGTGTGTGTGTGTGTGTGTGTGTGTGTTTAATTTGCGTTCAGTTCACGCCCCGCGGTATTATCAAGGAGAAAGTGCAGACAGTTCGGCACCGGGATGGGGGTCGCACGCATGCGGGCTTGGCCCCTGTGGCCCCCGGGCCCGGGGCCCGCCTGCCGAGCCGAAAGCTTATTATTGTAGGGCGACTGTCACTCGACTACCTATTTAACTAAATCCCGCACTTTTCAAAAGGTATTGTATTTTGTGGCATGTTTAGTCTCTTAATGTTAACCCACATCAGGAGCATGGTGGCCGTCGCATGCAGGGCGCAGCTGGACGCCGATGAGCAGGTGCGATTAGAGGGACCTTCATGCTCCATTTTTATTTTGGCGCCCAGATGAGGTCTGCGAGTTTGTTTCTGGCTCAAGGGCACTGCGCCGCTTGCCTGGATGACTGTGCGTGCATTGATGCGACCTCAGGTTTTGACATCGAACTACTTCAAAGACACCTAAACACGCAATGGAATCTCTACGATGTTCACTACTTCTTTGTTGTAAAAAAATTAGTTTCTCAAACCATTTGCTTGTCCCTCATTAGTTTGCCCCCGTCCCTTAATACTGGTCTCTTATAATCCTTTCAATGTTCGGCCTTTTTAATGTCTTATTTCAACTTTTCGTGAAGTGACGACTGATTTGAGCTTCTTTTGCGAAGTCGCGCTGGCGCACTGTTAAAAGCTTACGGCGAATTTCACTGTAAGTTACAGTGAATCCTGCAGCACTAGCTTACGGTGAATTTCATCGTAAGCTACAGTGGATGGCGCCGTAAGCTACGTTGAATATCACTGCCAGTTACGGTGAAACAGGGAAATCACTGTAACTTAGTGATATTCACCATAGCTCACGGTGCCAGTCACCGTAGGTCACGGTGAAATTCACCATAAGCTACAGTGCTGCAGTGTTCACTGTTCACCTCTTACAGTGCGGGCGGTTTAGCAAAATTTAGTAGTGGTTAGTACTCACCCATAATGTTTCGGGTAGGTGCCGAGTCCGCTACGGTGCCCACTGACATACTGCCGTTGATCCACACATTTTCGTCGATAACGGAAATGTTTTCACAAGATCGCAGGTTGGCGATGAGTCTGCGTCAGCCAGCTGTTCGCTCCAGGAAGGTCATGAGACCGACGGCAAGTTCACTCCAGAACGGCGACGCGGATGGCGATCTCATTCTCCTGGGCCGCTGGACTTCCACTCGATGCATAGCTTGCTTGTCGCAGAGCTGACGCCGAACATGCCGTGCCTCCGTCTGTCCCAGGCGTCCCGGCGCGGTGAGGGCGCGTCAGCGTCAGGGTCGCCGTCAGTCTCGCCGGGCCTCGCACACCGCTGCCGTGCCGGGTACACTGAATTATGCCACACAACACACGGCGCAGAGGTCGGGCTTCTTGTTTATGCACTAGGGAGCACTCCTCCACAACGCGGCTGTAGCCCCCGGCTGGCAGGACTTCTAGGAGGACTGTTGCGCTACGCCACAGTCACAAAATGGTCACAGTGTGGTCACAGCGCGGTCACCGGTTGTTGTCGAGCTACACGACACGGCGGTAGGCTTGAGCACCGTGCGCGGTGACGGCGGCAGCAGCAGCGATCCGGTCGACGGCGCGGCGGAAACTGGAGTGGTGGACCGCGGCGATGGCCGGCGGCGCACCGGAAGCACCGGAAGTACTCGTGAGTGCGTGCGTGTGTGTGTGTGTGCGCGCGTACTCACCACGTGACCACGCGCGGCAGCGCATGCAGGGCCTGTGACGCCGGCCGTCCGCCTCTGATGAACGTGGCGGAGTATGAAAAATGCGGGATGCGGGAGGCGCGGAGGTGTGTGTGGTGTGCGGCTGGTGGTGGGGGACGCCGGCTAATATAGCGCCGGCCGCTGCGGTCCCACCGACCTATGGGCTCCAGTTCAGCCTGATAGGTAGGCCACGTCTGTCCTGCAGCACATGCGTGCCCTGCGGGGTGGCCTACCCTGAGCGTCGCAGGCGTCAAGCCTCCGTATGTCGCCGAAAGAATTGGAGAAAAGCGGACGTACTTTCTGGATGATCCCTAATCACTTGATCGCCGAGCTCACCGTGGCCAGGCACACTGCCGGCCGACGAGCCACTCCGACCGCGCTGCGCCGTTTGCCGCCGACCCGTCACGGGTCCTCGGGAGGCCGCGCCGCGCCGCCGGGACCAGGACCAGGGTGACTCGCTCCCCTCGGCCTCGACGGCCGCCCGCACCCGCGGCCGGAGGGGGTTGAGTTGGCGCTGGGGGACGACAACTTCCGGCTCGGGACCCCTTCCGGCCGGTCGGGGCGGTGCGGTGCCGGCCGCAGGGAGTTGCTGGCAGTGAGATCGCCATCTCACGGTGCCCTGGGGGCGGCCGGCCGGTCCGGCGGCCATGTCCCCATCCTCGCACCGAGGTGGACCTCACGTGCCGGTGCAGCCCGGCAGCCTCCGGGCTCCATCGTAAAGCCCCTCCCAGGGGCAGATCAGCCGCTTTTATCAAACCGTTATTCCCCTGTATGGCCAGCATTGCATTGCGACTTGGAGTGGGAGGACGCAGGGCAGGGCGGGGCGGGGCGGGCCAGGGCAGGCCAGGGCAGGGCCTACATGATCGTTCCGGAGAACGGCCCCAGCCGGCCCCAGCCGTTCGCCTGCCGCTCAACGCTCAGGAGAGACTGCCCCAATCCCGGTGCGGCAGGCCCTGCAGGGCCACACGGCATATCGGCCGCACGCATTGAGGGCCGTATAGCGAAGCAATCAGTGTAAACGCTACGCGAGGCGATTTACTCCGTCATTCCGGGAACGAACATGCGTTCGCTTACGAGAGCAGTGCGGCGCCAGGCTTCCCTTCTACCGTTTGAGTCCACACGCCACGTCCTAATTGAGAGCGCAGCTTGTCGCAGCCCCCCCTCCCCCCATACTCCCGTCCTCATGCCGCCTCAAAGAACCCGCCGAAACTAATCTCTGCGGGTACCTCACTCACTCCACCCTGCCAGCCCCGCGCGGAGGTAGCTACTCGCGGGCGGCTCGACGTGCTCTGCACATACACCGCCCGCCGCGGCCCGCCGCCACCTACACATGACATTGGCGCGAGGGGCGTGGCGGGGCGGGGCCGGCGCTGCTCGGCTCCTGTCGCGGTCCTAGAGCAGGCTGGTCGATGTCCTATTTCGTATTCATTGCTTGTTCCCGCGGAGCCCTTGCTGCTAAAGCGTCCCGTGCCGCCCCGCCCCGCCCAAGCACCCCCGATTCTCTTTCAATGTGCTCCAGGCTATGCGCCCCCGCCTGCCTCCCTGCACCCGCGCTCCCTCTCCTCCGTGTGCTGATACATGTTCGCTATATAGTGATACCAATGGAACGACGACGACGGAGGGCTGGTGGTAGAGGGGGTGGCAGAGGACGAGAAAGGGGGAAAGAGGAGAGAGAGAGAGAGAGAGAGAGAGAGAGGGAGAGAGAGAAGGAAGGGGGGAAGGGGGGGCCAGAGTAAGACGGAGAGAGGAGTGGGAGCTTGGATCAGCAGGATTTGGGTAACGGGAGCGTGGAGAGGGACGTGGGTGGCCGCCAGATTACGCTTATAGGAAAGGCGCTGGCAAGCGCGCGGCGCGTCGCGGTTTCGGTTTGTCCTCGCGGGGAATGGAGGAGAGAGAGGGGTGGAAGTGGGGGTGGATGGGG